GCAAGAGGAACCGACTGGACATGTTCGTCACCCTGCTAGGAGTCATCTGGATCATTCTGCACTACAGCACTGAGCCTGTGAGTCACTCCTTCCTTCTCTCTTTTTCTGTCTCTCTGGTTGTCTGGATCATTCTGTACTACAGCACTGAGCCTGTGAGTTGCTCTCTTCTCCCCTCATTCCTCTGTCTTTCTTTCTTTCTTTCTTTGTCTCTCTGTCTGTCCCTCCTTCTCTCTTTTTCTGTCTCTCTGGTTGTCTGTATCATTCTGCACTACAGCACTGAGCCTGTGAGTTGATCTCTTCTCCCTTCATTCCTCAGTTTTTCTTTCCTTCTTTCTTTGTCTCTCTGTCTGTCTGCCTTTCTCTCTCTTTCTCTTTCTGTATCTGTCCAGTCGTCTGGATCATTCTGCTTTACAGGACTGAGTCAGTGAGTCGCTCTCAACTCCACTAGTGCCTTTTTCTTTCTTTCTTTCTTTCTTTCTTTCTTTCTTTGTCTTTCTCTCTCTGCCCCTCCTACTTCTCTCTCTTTCTGTCTCTCTGTATCTCTCCGGTCATCTGGATCATTCTGCACTACAGCACTGAGCCTGTAAGTCACTCTTAACTCCACTTGTGCCTCTGTCTTTCTTTCTCTCTTTGTCTCTCTGTAGCACTCCTTCTCTCTTTTCTGTCTCTTTCTCTCTCTGTGTCTATCTTCTCTCTGTCTGTCCCTCATTCTCTCTCTTTCTTTCTCTGTCTTATCTCTCTCTGTCTCTCTGCCTTTCCAACTCTTTGCATCCTTATCTCTCTTCCCTCTTTCATATTTCTTTGTTTGTATGTCTGTCTTTCTGTCTGTCTGTCTATATGTCTTTCTCTCCTCCCCCCCCTCTCTCTCTCTCTGTCTCTCTCTCTCAGACTCTATTTTCCCTATTTCTTATTGTCTCTCATCTCTATAAGTTTGTCTGTCTCCCTGTATCTGTCTCTCTCTGCGTATGATTCCTTCCATTCCCTTCTTCTCTCTGTCAGTACATTAGTGCATCTTTCTTTCTGTCTGTAGTTTTGTGGTGTAGTAAAGGTAAAAGAGAAATTACACCCTTGGATGATGTCTCAATGGGCATACTCAATCAGGTTTTTGAAAGGCACGCTAAGCACCTTCTCTAACTCCTCACATAATGGTGTGATTAATAATATAGGATTCTCAGGATAGATAAACTCTGGAACATAATATTACGATACCAGTTTGTTTGAAGGGGGCAGTAAACATTTTGCAATTTTTTGTCTGTCTTATCCTCCGTCTTTTTCTCCATCTTTCTCTCGATCCGTGTGTCTTGTTTAAACCTGTCTTTGTGTGTCTGCTTCTGCCTGCCTGCCTGTTTGTCTTTGTTTAGGGGGCTGTAAACAATTTGTCATTTTCTGTCCGTATTTCTATTAATCTTTTGTTTGTCTTTTTTTACCCTGACTCTGAATATGTCTGTCTCTACCTCTGTCTGCCTGTCTGTTTGTCTGTGTTTCTTTGTCTGTGTTTTTTTTGTCTGTGTTTCTTCGTCTTCATTTGTCAGTAGCTATAACCTTCCAGTTGTTTTGTTTCCAGCCTCTCAGGCACTTTCTGGGAAAGGTATTGATTTTCACTAACAAAATGCTTTGTCCTATGGAACTTGGTTTATGTCTTGGGGACTTTGTTAACAAAGATACAAATCTACGGAATGGCTTTTGTTACAGTTTTTCTCATGGTCTTGGGATTTTGCATTTGTTACACTTTTTTCCCCCTACCATCCTGAATGCTGTAAATCTTCCAATACCTTTCTTTGTCGCACTGTCTCAAACACTTGTAAGACTTGCTTTGATGTGAAGTTGTTCAAGAATGGTTGGATCCCCTCCAGATATTCTGACTGCCCCAAAAACTCCTGCCTGCACGCAGCATTTGAGGACTTTCTCACTTTTTTATTCCGTAGCTCAAAGAAGCTGCATCACTCTCCATTCAGAAAGTTTTGCTTTTGATTCTCCCAATTTTTTTTTCTACTTTGGGTGCACTCCTTCCTGTGTTTCAATGTAGATGAATTAAAGCATATTTTTTGCTGATGATGATGTTTTATGACAGGGCTCTTTTGTATGTTGATAAATTCATTCTTAAAAATGAAATAATCACACATAAATATGATTGCTCAAATTATTGATAAATGAAGTTGATCTGAAAAAAGGTTAATACCAATAAATTGTAGACCTGTTTCTTAAAAGTGATATTAAGAGAATGATTTTTAAAGACATTTCTGAATATAATCGTCCTTTTCCATCTATATCTGGACTTGAGGCATGTTTACAATTGCATTATCCGTTCTTCCCAGCCGGTGGAAAATTCAAGAACTTCAAAAATTTGTTTTTTCTGAGATGAATGTTCAGTGCATGAGCTATTAGAGAGCGTGAAGATACATTTTTTTGTGCTGCACCTGATTCATCTAGTATTTTGTAAACCATGTAAGTGACACCTTGCATGTTGATTTTTGAAAAAGGAAAGCATTTTCCTCCCCCTTTTTCCAATTTTCATTCTTTTAGAAATGATCAAGACATTTTTTCAACTGTCTGCTCTTGACATTCCCTTTTGGTCTGAAAATGTTCATAATTTTCTCTTTTCTTGAATTATGTTCTCTAAGCAAATGTCTATCAACTTATTTACATAAATTTGTTCAGATAAAAAAGATATGAAACACTGAACGTTTCTACAGATGGACTGTCATTTTCATGTCAATTCTGTATATTTGAGTTCCTATCAAAACCTCTGCAGGTTGTCCAGAGCACAAATTTTGATTGCGGAAAGATAGGGGCGAATGGAATAGGTGGACAGAGGTGGTAGTCAATAGCTGCTAGTCAATTGATGAAATTGTATCAACTAAATAAATTATTGGCAATATTATTGATGACTTGATAATACTTTAGTTCAGATTATGTGTCAAAACAGGTATCTAGACTTATATAAAGCAATTAGTGCCTAAAACTTTGTGATAAGTAGAGGCATTAAGTGTTGAAAAACATAG